CCAGGCTTAATATTGGAGTAATTTATCCATTTTAGTCCTAATGTACAAACATACCAAGCACATCCACTTGTGAAAGGTAGTCCTATGCTTTCAGACACAAAGATTCAGCATGGGAAACTCCATAAACTCCTTTACAGTAAATGAAGTTGTTACAAATTCAGTTTGGTTTTCTGCCATTGCTCGAACTTCCTTTAGAGCTCTTTTGATACGTGATCATCTGGTCCTGTAAACTCCCTGGCAAGTGTCCCATTTCCAGGATCTATTATTAGTTTAGATGTTCATAGGAAGTTGTATCCCAAAATCTTTTGCCCTGATTTACTGTGCATTTACATTTAATCAGATAGAAATTGTGATTCCCTCCTTTTTTTCTCATTTGGATATGACTTCAGGGTTTTGAAGGATGCCTTATTGCTTGAACTATTATCTTTCACCTTGCTATTTCACCATGCCAACACTTCTCTGCTCTACCTCAAGTCTTTTTTTCACAGGTGAAATGTATTTACTTTAAGCCTCTGCTGTGTCTTTAAATAGGCTTTATGCTCTTGATTCAGATGTTTGATATTGTAGATATAAAGGATATTGTAGAAATAAAAAAGATAATCAAATACTGTTATGGTCCCAAGGGACAATGAAGACACAGGTCCTTCAGCGTGCTTGTAGTTGCTTGGTTGATAAACCCCCTGGGGTCAGTGGCTGGAGGGCCTCTGTCCAAGATCAGCTCTGATATGGTGCACCCATGTCACCAATGGCCAGTTGCTGTGCAAGAGGACTGTGCAAACTCTTACCAGGACCGCCCCTCTGCTGGGAGCTGCATTTGAGCTCTGGCACTCACTGCCAGAGCCATGCTTTAGCTCTGTTGTTTTTACAGCTCTGCTGTATCCCTGGCCATGTCTGATGCTCTGTCCTGATTCATCAGCCTCATTACTGCAAGCTTGTTCAGCAACTGGTCCCAACCCCAGTCACTGGGGGAGCTGCGCCAGTGGACGATGGTAATGCTTCCCATCTTGCTGCCCGCAGCCTCACCTTGCAGAACTGCTACTCTCCTCTTGGGTCTGTGATGAGGAATGACAGGCTCTGGGGTGGCACAGCAGACCCCCGTGCGGACAAAATTAGCCATTAACATCGTTAAACACAGCTGCATCAGGGAAGTCCAGGCTGGCAGTTTCCTCTTTTATTCCAACGCTGAAGATCTGTAAAGCAAGCGCAAGCTCCTGTCAGACCTCCCTCTGGGGCTGAAGGGGTGAACAGGATGTCTTTGGAGTAGGCTCACTGCCTTCTGGCCTGCACTGTGAGAGCATGTCCTCAGCTGTTAATGAAGGTCTGAGTTTGATCCCGAGTGAACCATGGACATTAAACTCCCCAGAAGGAGACATTGCTGTAGTAATAGCTAAATTATAGCCCTTACACTGAATGAAACCAAATTAGGTCTCCGTGTGCAGTATTTATGCGGGCAATTTCACTTAACCTTGCCATCTTTTAATTCCTTTTATACCTCAATTTAGTAATTTCTGAATTTTTTTATAGATCTGTTTATTGAGAAGACCACAAGAGACCTGAACTGAGTAATTTCTGTCTCTGCAGCTTTGTACTTTAATAGCAACAGAATCATCTGTACATAAACTCTTTAAACAATAAATATCTTTATCTGCAGTGATTTAGATGTTTATTATCTTCGTAGCAATTCATTTGAAGGACACAGCACTGCCTTCACACAAAACTGAATCGATTTGTAGTCAAAGTAGTGATTTTGGTTACTTTTTGATTTTGTAAGGAAAAAAAGACAACTTTTACATACTGTGGTAATGGAGAAAATACTTTAAATGGTAATTTATCCAGTTAAAGATCACCATTTTAATTGGATTGTATATTAATATCAGCCTGTAAAAATTGCAAACATTGATGTACTTCTAAGGAAATATACTTCACAGGAAGAATTAGGCTCTGTTCCAGCCATTTAGTGTCATGGAACAGATAATTGAATTCCTTCCTTTTTTGTCAAGCCAGTAATATCACATAACTCTTTTTAAATGTTCATGTAATCAACAGTCTGTATGCTGGTCTGCATTTAATAGACTGAATCATTTTTTCTTTGAAAACAAGTCTTACCAGCTTTCCTTCTGTTCTTACAAAGTCTTCAGGAAAATGTTGGTTTTTTGGAATCACATCTGATGGGTTACATGCAGCATAGAAATAAAACTCACTAGAAAGGTGATGCAGGTTTCTGCTTTATTTTCGTGCAACATTTTATGAGGAAAGTAACTAAGTAGTACAATTTTGAAAGAAATGGAGCCACTTACTACCACATCGACAGAAAGAAATGGAGCAAAGTTTGTCAGCACACATTGCTCTTCACTGCTGTTTCTTGTCTGCTCCTTTTTTGATATGTGGTATCATGGTTGCAGGAGCAAAATCAATTATCAAAGGCAGCTGTTGCCATGACTGCTCAGGTATGGTTAATTCTTGGAATGCACAGAAATGAACTAAAAAGAGTGGCTGAGGGCAGCTGCATATGCCAATGCCACCATGCTACTACATACATGGATGGCAAAGGAATTGCTCTTGTTCTATGCCATGATTTTCAGGCCTAACAAAATGCAGCACATCAAAGTGAGAAGGTTTCCAGGGACTTTCAATCAGCATCCCAAATTTGACTCCAAGTCTCCACAGACACAAACTGGAATATCCTGATGCAAATCGAATATGGTCTTGCTAAGATAGCAGCAACACTTAAACAATTCTGTTCCATCTCCCTATTGTAAGAATTTTTTTCAGGTATTTATTTTGTTTAACATTGTCTCTGCAGTTTTGTACAACTGTTTAACTGCTTTATTGGCAATGAGGAAGGGCATAAAATCTGTTATTGCAAGTGAGAAAGAAACATATGCTGTATACTTAATATGCAGCTGGAAAATATGTATTAGAATAACTCTTAAAAGCCCTCACATTTAAGGGCCTTTTCTTTCCCTGCTTTACTCTGTATCCCTAAACAACTGGTACTGCCATGATGCAACTATGTCAGGGGAGAAGAGATTGGAGGAACTACTAAGGCTTTTCAGACCTATAGCCATGGAATGGAGAAGCAACAGGACATTTTCCTGTATGGGACACCCCTGTGGGCACACTAGAAACCAAGACACTGAGCTCATCCAAATCAATAGAGAATAAAATAAGGATAAATGCAAGGCACAGGAGCTTTTTAAACCAGCTTTAATAGCAAGGCCTCTGTAATGGGGAGCTATGCCTTGAAAATTCAAGCACTGGGCAAAGTTAGAGGCATGTTTGACCAAGAGCCCACAGCCCTGCAAAGGAGTGCACTTCTGTGCTGACTGCCCTTAGCAAAATTACTGCTCACTGGTGCCTGCTGCCATGATCAGCCAGTCACTGGTTGCCTCCTGCTGCTACCCCAGCTCAGTTCTGGGAGGGCACGAAACCTGCTGGGCCCCTCAGCACTTGTCATATCAGCCCGTGTACATGCCCTCCTCCTCTTTACTCCCAAGACTCCATGTCAGGGCCCACCATCATCTGCGTGTTGGCAACTAGGCATTTCCCAGTTAATCATCAACCTAAACCCAGCCCTGAGACTTCAACGCTCAGACTTTCACGGATTTTCTCATCCTGTAATTTGCTACATATTGAGCAGTACCAATCTCACTGTTTAACATGTAAGAACTATATCTTAATATTGTCCAGGCAGAGTGAGGTGTTAGCCAGGAACCAGGGCGTGGACTGCCTCCACAGATCAGAGGTATTGGGCAGTCCTGTGTCACTTCTACTTCTCTCACGGTGCTTTGTTGCCACCTGATGGCCTGATGCAAGATTGCAAGAATGGAACAAATCGACACATTGTGAGAAAGGGATGTCTTGCATTTCACTAGATCCGTTGTTAGCTTTAAAAAAAGCTTTGCAGCTCAAAGTCTTTTCATGCCCTCCTAACACAAGTCTTCGCTTCACAGGTAGTGAATTACTTTTCTTCAGTGACAGCCATAATTGCAATATACGCAACAAATACATATTATTTGCATTTAAAAGGAATTTGTCTTTTAAGGAACAGTTTTGTTCCTTAAAAGGACAAGATACCTGAAAGATCATGATGTCATATATCTGGAATAGCCACTAATATGGTAATGCCGTGATGTTTGATCCGTACATCCAGTGCTCAGTGCCTCCTTGTGCAAAGACTTCTGTTGCCCATACAGATCCGTGTTTTTGACACCCCTGCCCAGGTGATCTTGCACTTACATAATATTAGCAATGCTGCTGATCTTGAAAAGCTCTGCCCCTCAAAAGGTTTTCAATGCTCCTTCCAACCATCTTTGAAATCTGGCTGTTTCTTACATCCATCCCCACCAAGTACTGGTGAAACTCAGCCACCCCTCATGGTCTGTCTCTGCGTCTTGTTGGCACCATACATAGTTATCTGTCACAAGCAGCAAATTATTATGTTGTGTCCAGTCACTGACAGCATCCTTTTCAATAAGTGTAACCTCAGGTCAGGGCCTGCAGTCGTAAAAGCAATTTTTTCCCTGCTCATTCCAGCTGGTTTAACTAAGCTCTTACTGGCTTTTCTTTTTAAAATACCAAGGCAAAAATACTGAAGCTGAAATGGTTTGGAACAAAGGGACTGGGATCTACATTTATTGCTCTGGTGAAATCCTGGTGGCTGAAGGGTAGTCTCTGCCCTGGAACCATTGATGCGGCTTACAGAGGTAAAGGGAACATGACCCAACTCATGTCTGGTCATGGGTATGGATATGAAGGTAAACTACAGAAACTGGTGGTTGTCACCTGTGGCCTTTACTTGCTTTTTATGTAGATGGATGAAGATGCTACACAGAGCAAGAGAGCAGGCCACACGCTCATCGTATCATTTGGTTTGCAGCAGTTTTTAGACAAAGGAAAAAATGCTGCTTATTGGCACTCTGAGGAAAGTGGCTGGGGGACCATCTGCCAGCTCTGCTTATGAGGTCTGTTTTCCACAGGCTGTTTTTTAATGGGGTGCTCTAAAGTGTTTCTTGAATCCACAGTCGGAGAACTTCTTCTGAGGGCATCACATGCACCATCAGATCACATTGCTCAGCTTCTTCACTGCCACACAGTATCAGCTGGGGTGGGGGCTCTGATACTTTCTGCAAAACAAATGCATTGGCTCAAGCACCCTCAGGCTTCTCAGCTAGTCTGTCCATCCACTTTTCCCCACAAACCGTTCCTCTCATCCTTCTGGCCACAACTGCCCAGAGACCCAGTGCTCAGGAAACCACAGCCACAAAAGCTCCTGCCTGGACAGTACATTTCAGCTCATGACTTAGGCATACTCCTCCTGAGTGAGCAAGAAAAGAGGCTGCTTTTGATGATTCGTTTCACCTTACCAAGCTGTTGAGAAGCTCAGTGCTGGTACCAGGACACATGGAGCAGTGTTGCCAGTGACACAGCTGTTTTGTTCAGGGAGCAGCTGGT